AAAAAAAGCAAGTCATTCCTATTTTAACAATTTCTTTCTCTCTCTCTGTGAGATAGTGTTTCACTCTGTTGCCCAGGTTGGAGTGAAATGGCATGATCTCAGCTCACTGCAACCTCCGACTCCCTGGTTCAAGTGATTCTCCTGCCTCAGCCTCCTGAGTAGCTGGGACTACAGGCACAAGCCACCACGCCCAGCTAATTTTTGTATTTTTAGTAGAGACGGGTTTCACCATGTTGGCCAGGATGGTCTCGATCTCCTGACCTCATGATCCACCCACCTCGGCATCCCAAAGTGCTGGGATTACAGGCGTGAGCCACCGCACCTGGCTGGTGTTTGCATTTTTTGCAAATTGGTTGCTACCTTTAAAGCTCAGGAAACTGCACATAAAAAATTCAGATATCTGGCTTTTCTCTAAAGTGCCAGAAGATCAAGCCATGTGATTGGCGTTCCTGCTGGCGCAGAAATGCAGCTGCCCTTGGGCCAGGCCATCGCTCTGCAGTTCCTACCTCACCCTCCCTCACCCTACCACCCTGCACCAGGCATGCAGGCTCACCGTGTGGAACCACCTCTCTGAACTACAAGGGAACTGGGAGGTTGGGGTGGGCATTATCCTGGCCCTCTGTGCCCTTGACCTGAGTTGAGTACACCCCACCCCAGTTTCCCGTTTCCAGGACTCCACACACACACCCATTTAGAACACATCTGTGAGCCAGATTTACTTCTTAGCAATAATAATAAAACAGTGAGCAGTCGCCTGGGTTCAGGTAATGGCTTGTATGAGCTCCCAGACCTTTTTAGAACAACTTAGGCTTCAGTGGTTCCTAAAACGTGGGGGTGGAGGGTGGGGTGGGGAAGAAAGCATGCCGGGCAGTGGAAGATTGCAGAGACGCAGCCTTTCCTTCCCAGTCGAAATAGAAGTATTTGAAGGGAGGCTCAAGCCAGGGGCCTTGCTCTAACGAGTCACCTACCCGGTCTCTGCTGGTCAGCTGGTGTTGTTAGGATGGAAATGAGCTGGGGTTGCCAGATTTGGCAAATACAGAAACAGGACGTCCAGGAGCATTGAAGCTTCGGATGAACAACGGAAAAGGTTTTGGTGTAAGTATGACCTATGGAATATTTGGGACACACATATTAAAAACTTATCTGAAATTTGGCTGGGCGTGGTGGCTCATGCCTGTAATCTCAGCACTTTGGGAGACTGAGATTGGCGGATCACCTGAGGTCAGGAGTTTGAGACCAGCCTGACCAATGTGGTGAAACCCCATCTCTACTAAAAATACAAAAATTAGCTGGGTGTGGTGGCTCATACCTGTTGTTCCAGCTACTTGGGAGCTGAGGCAGGAGATCACTTGAACCCAGAAGGCGGAGGCTGCAGTGAGCCAAGATTGTGCCACTGCACTCTAACCTGGGAGACAGAGCGATACTCCATCTAAAAAAATGAAACAAAACAAAATCTGAAATTCACATGCCTCTGGGCATCCTGTTTTATCTGGCAATCCTGAAAAGAGTCTTAGAATGCTTGAAAAGAGCTTTAAACACCATTTCTTAAAATGCCAAGCCTCCCTTTGGTGGCTGTCCCCTTACAGCTGAGCATAAGCTCTGGATGACAGGCACACAGATGCGGGGGAGGTGGGGGCCAGGACCTAGGGGCGGAGCGCTGACCCTCCGCAGTCCTCTCTGCTCACTCTCTCTTCCCTTCCAGTCATAGGCACCGCAGCAGGCATCATGGCCGTGGATGTGGCAGAATACCATCTGAGCGGTGAGTCCCCAGGGCACGCCCCTCCTGGATCATGCCTGCGGGACCCTTGCACCAGGCCTGGGGTGGGAGGTGTCTGTGGGACATGAATAATGGCAAGAATGCTGCCCTTATTCCTGACTGTCTTTGCCATTATTGCCTTCACTTGCAAGGACAGTCAGTGATTTGCCCAACGTCAGACAGCCCTGGGGACATTGAGCTTGGCTCAATCTGAGGTCTCATCATCTTGCCACTCAAGTGGCTCCTTCCTGTTAAAGTGACTTTCTTTCACTTGAGAGGGTGCCCAGGGAGACCCTGGCCCTGCCGCACCCTGGGGATGAGTCTGTGACTCGGAATCCACTCACTGGGGCCTTTTGTGGAGGCTGGCAAGTCCCCAAGGGAAAATAAATGCAGGACAGTCAATGTTAGATTCATGGGGCATGAAACTCAGAGGCCACCCAGTCCAAGGCAGAGGCTGCAGTGAGCTGAGATCACACCACTGCACTCCAGCTTTCCAGCCTGGGCGACAGAGTGAGACTCTGTCTCATTAAAAAGAGAGAGAGAGAGAGAGACCACCCAGTCCATGGCCATGGCTGCCTCCCTTTCACCCTGTGCCCCAGCAGGGAGATGGGAGATGGCCTCTAGACTCCAGACATAGTCTTGTAGCCCTCCCCATGGATGGCAGATGGAGTCAGAGCCGAAACATACCAACCATCTTTTCTCCCTTTGTTCCTGTCCCCATTCACAGACGGGAGAAGTGAGGCTCAGAGAGGGAAAGGGACAGTGAGTAACGGGGTCAGGACTTGAACTCAGGTCTCCCAGGCCCATGCTCCCCATCACTCCAGCTCCAGCCCTAGCAGAGCCCCTGGGAAGCCCAGGCCTGATCTGAAGGGTGTGCCCAGGATCACCTTCCCCATCCCCAAGCCAGGGAGCCTCGCTTTTCACCCACAGGCTCACAGGTCTTGCCCATACACCCCCGCCAGTCCCCCCCGCCACCATGGCCTTGGGCAGGGGTGAAATCTGAACTTCTGCTTGCTCATGTGTAAATGCAAACAGTGAGGCCACCTCAGGGCTGCTGGGAAGATTTAGTGAGCTGATGTACAAGTGCAAACACCACTCTCACAACACCAGGGCTTTGCACATGCTGTTCCCCCGGCCTAGAGCTCTTCCCTGCCTCTGCCTCTGCCGGCCTGAGTCCCCGGGCCTGCTGCCGGGGCTGCAGGTGCAGGTGTGGATCCCGTCTGCAGCGGCAGCATGTCTCTTCTCCGTCCCTCACTTCCCCATCTGTAAAATGGGGAAAACAATGGAACCAACCTCACACGATTGTTTTGAGGACTCAAGCAACCTGCTTAGAACAGGGCCTGGCAAATCATAAATAGTAAGTGCTTTGTAGGGGAGCTTTCCTCCTCCTCCTCCTCCTCCTCCCCCTCATTTCCAGTCTTAGCCTAGACCTCACTTCCCATATCACGCCAAGGCTGGAATTCCATCAGATCAATAAACAAATGAACACGAATTGTCATTTCATGCCACCTTCCTGGGGCCTTTCCTTCTGTGCCCCCAGACCTGCCCCCTTTTCTGCCACCCGGGGCATGGGCTCCATCCTTCAGCTCCCAAGAGCCTCAGGCGCAAGGGTCCCTGAATGTACTTTGCCCCCGGCTGTGCCCACAGCCTGCTCAGAGACCTTGGGCCTCTGGTCCTGCCCTCTAGCCAACCCCCGGCTACCACCCAGCCCTGCCGTGACCCTGTTCCCAAGAACGCACCAAGCCCTGCCAGTCAGGGCCTGGGAGCCTCCATGGACCTCTTTGTTATGGGTGTATTTAGCCCGAAGATGACATTCTGTTAACAGGAGCAGGCAGGAGGAAGGAGGGTTTGTTCACAGTCCCTCCATTGTTGTTACCGATTCCTTCTGTTTTTCCCTGCTCTGCCCAGCCCGTGACTATGTGCTTCGTGACTTTTACATACATCACAAGCGCGTGGTTACACCATGTTGGGGATTCATTTTTTTCCTCTTTTAACAATGCCAGAAATGTTTCTCTGCATTGCCGCAGTGCCATCCTAATGACCTCAACTGTGGTTCTCCAAGGCCAGTGACATTTCCTCCCAAGACAGTGCCACCAGCCCTCACTGGCCCCCTCGGTGGGACCTTCAGGCTCTTTCCAGATTTCTGCCGTTATAAATACAGCCTCGATGACTCATCCCAGACATAAAACTTGTCGGGATTTTCCCTTTAGAATAAATTCACCAGAGTGGGACCGCTGGATGGGGGGTGCTCTTGTCATCTGGATTTTCCCAGAGGTGCTGGGTGACTTGCCTGGAAGCCGAGGCACCTGCGCCTGGCTCTGCCGTTTCTCACACTGGCCTTGAGTGGGGAAACAGATGTGCCCGCTACCCTCCCTTGGTCTCAGTTTTCCTCTTTTAGAAAATAGGGCCTCATAGGGCGCTCAAAGCTGGGAGCGGTCAGGATTGGAGGCCAGCGAGTTAGTGCTGTGAATTCTGGCTCAGGTGGCTGACTCAGAAGAGAGCAGGGCAGGCTAGAGGGGCTGCCCCACTGCGTGATTCCTCCCTGTGCAGCGGGGCTTCAGGGCAGCAGTGGTCAGGAACCCCCAGGTCCCCTCCCTCCCTCCACAGGGCACTCTACCCACCCTGGGCTTTTTATACCCCTCTGTTCTTCCCGCCCTTGACTTCCAGCTCCAGTTGCTGTGGCCTGGCACACTTCTTGCCCCTCATGATATCTCAGCTTACATGTCCCTCCTCCAGGAAGCCTTCCCGGGCTGCTCCCATTCCTAGTATGCTGACTTGTCTATTTATTTGCCTGCCCCTCCCCACCCCCTAGACTTCAAGCCACTTAAGGACAGGGACTGGGCCGGGGCTGACTCAGCCCTGGCTACCCGTGCCCATAGGCTGCTGTCGCACCAGGGTGGGTGCCCAATGATGTGCAGTGATCAATATCCAGTGCTGAGATGCCCTTCGCACCTCTCCCCACCTTGCTGCCAAGGAACTGTGCGGGGTCGAGGCCGGGTGTGGCAGTGGTTACCCCACATGCTCTGGGGTCTGGCTGCCAGAGTTGGAGTCCCAGCACCACCCCTTCTGGGCTCTGTGACCTTGGGCAAGTTCTTTAGCTTTTCTGTGCCTCAGTTTCCTCACTGGAATTGAGATAGACGCAGTACTAAGAACAGTTTAGAGAACGGTATTTGCCAGCACCGTGACCTGCAGAATGAATCTCAGTGTCTCCTTGGCTTCCTTTGGGGAAGCAGAGCCAGGTTTCCTAGGAGAGAAAGGCAAAACCTTGGAACGTGTGTGGTCCTGCCGCGTGCCAAGCACGGTGCTAGGGGAGGACGCGCCTGCCACAGTTGAGCGGGTTGTTAATTTCCGTTTTCTGGGGCAGTGAGGCTCAGAGAGGGAAGGTTGTTGACTCATCAGCAGAGCAAAGGCATCTGAGCATCTGGATTTGTCTCCAAGCCCTGCACCGCCTGCAGCCACCTCTCACTTCTGGCTGATTTGTTTGTTTGTTTTGGTAAGAGATTCACAGAGAGATAAGATTCACACACCAAATAATTTACCCACTTAAAGTGTACAATTCAGTAGTTTTTAGTATATTGTGCAACCAGCCACACAATCCCTTTTTAGAATATTCTCATCATCCCCCAAAGAAACCCTATTTCTCCCAAGTTTCCAGCCCTGACAGTCACTAATCTACTGTACAGACTGGCGTCAATTCTGTCTGTATAGATTTGCCTATTCTGGATATTACATACACAGGATGAGCATCCTAAATCCAAAAATCCAAAATCCAAAATCTGAATTTTTTTCAGCGGACATGATGCTGAAAGGAAATGCCCGTGGGAGCATTTTGGATTTCAGATTTTGGGATTAGGAATGCTTAACCTATAAGTGTACTGCAAATATTCCCAAATCAGAAAAAATCTGAAATCCAAAGCACCTGTGGTCCCAAGCCACACAGGAAAGTGTATGTCTTGTTTGACATGGGATCTGCAGCACCTAGTACATAGTAGGCGTTCAATAAACATCCATTCAATGAAGAAGTCAGTGCTGCTCCCCAGGTGGGTGTCTGTCTCCACTAGGAAGCCCTAATGAGAGGCTGCCCTTGCCTTGCAGTCATCAAGAGCCCCCCTGGCTGGGAGGTGGGTGTCTATGCTGCAGGGGCCCTGGCCCTGCTGGGAATCGCCGCTGTGAGCCTGTGGAAGCTCTGGACGTCGGGGAGCTTCCCCAGCCCCTCTCCGTTTCCCAATTACGACTACAGGTACCTTCAGCAGAAATATGGCGAGAGTGGCGCAGAGGCCAGGCAGAAGGTGAGGTTTCTGATCCCGCAGTTGCACAGCGAGTACACCCCCACACACCCCCAATCCACCAGATCAGCCTTCAGCTCCTCTCCCTCCATCACCGCCTCCTGGTTCATGTCCTTTGAATGGGGAGTACACCTCTCTCGTCCCTTTCACATCTCCAACTTCTTTTTTTTTTTTTTTAACTTTTTTTTCTCT